AAGTGAATTAATTGCATTCCTGTCCCAAACATTGCTTATTTTATTGAAAAAACTGGTAAATTAGTACCCTGGTACAGACATAAACATATGAATATTTAATTGATTGTTGGTTTTTAACACCACTATCAGCACTATTGCCTATAAAGTAGCTGCCAGTTTATTGCCTATAAAGTGGCTGCCAGTTTATATTGATGAAGTTGCAGTATCCAGAGAGAATCACAACCTATAAAAATTGCAAGATTGAAGTTGAACACACCATGCAGCATCACTTTAGAAACATTAGTTGTAGAAATGTGCATACGGTCAGAAAATTATGGCTTATGTTATCACTACATGTTTTTTTGGAATTTAATATCACATGAGAAGACCTCCAATCTACCATTATCCTGCCCATTACAAAACAGGGTTGCACAGGAAACAATAAATATTTTTTGACTATATTCATGTTCATTACAGTAGCAAATGGCACATGCTTTGCCATTTCCAATCTTGCCCTAATTGACTCATCATTTCTTGTTAGCTGCTTTTTTTCTTTATAGAGTTCTTCTTTGAACTGCTTCCTGCATTTGTTTTCTGTCCTTTGCTGATTGATTTTGATTTTGTTTTTGTAACTTGGCCCTCATTTCTAACAACACCAATCTTTTGTTTCAGGGACTCCCTACTTGCTATTAAAATATATAAACAAAAAATCTACTTCAAGTGTGCAAACATTTATAACCATAAACAATGCAACTGATTCAAAACTTTATATATACTGGCCATATAAAAATAAGAAGATGTGGTATGATTGCCAATGAGACAACTCTCCAAGAGAGACCAAATTACATAGAACTTAGCTATAGGTCACTGTATAGCCTTCAACAATGAGCAAAATCCATACTGTATAGTAAGCTATAAAAGGCCCCAAAATGACAAATGTAAAACTATTTTATACGAGAAAACTAACTGCCTGATTTATGTACAGAACAATAAATGAAAAACAAATATGATATATAGCAACAAACGACAACCACCGAATTACAGGCTCCTCTGGCTTGGGACAGGCACATACAGAACATGAATTAAGATTGATCTTTTTGTAAGCTGAAATTAAGCCAATAAAAAATCATTTAAATTTCTGAATTTATCCTTAATAGTAAAGAAAGACAATATCAAGACATGAAAATGTCTATAAGTCAATATTAAGACAACTCTAAGCCATTTTAAGACATTTTAAGACAGAAATCAGAAAGAAAAGTTCATGAGGGTTGGTACCTTTGCGCTCTCAAGTGTACAGTTCTTGCCAGATTTTTATGAAACTTATATCATAGGTTTATATTAGCAATGTCTTGGAAGAGTTCGAAAATCAGTGCCGATGAATTATTTTTAAAAGAGTTATGCCCTTGGAAATATTAATTATATGGAAAATTGCCTTATGAGCCCTTTAGTGTGTACAATTCTTGCCAGATTTTTATGAAATTTATATAATAGGTTTATATCATCAAAGTCTTGGACAAATTTGAAAATCAGTGCTGATCAATTATTTTTAAAAGAGTTATGTCCCTTGGAAATATTGTCTATACGGAAAATTGCATTGTCAGTGCTCTCCTGTGTACAATTCTTGCCAGAATTGTATGAAACTTATATCTTAGGTTTATATCAGCAATGTCTTTGACACTTTCGAAAATAAGTTCTGATCAAATATTTTGAACGAGTTATGCTCCTAGGAAATATAAATTATAATGGAGTTAGGCCACTTTGAAAACTTAATTATAACAGAAATCGCATTGCATTTGCTCTGAAACCTTCATTTCTCTAAGATATTTATAAATTGTTTTAAAGAACAAAGAAAACAAGTTGCTTTCTTCAAAAAAAGAAAAGCAATACGTGAACCCTAGACAGCTGACTTGTCACCAAAAACATGTTGCTGATTTTTTTTGGCTTTAGATTTGAAATAATTGACTGAATAGAATAAGGTACATATACTGATGATGTTAAAACATCTTTATTGAAAATTTGTAATTGTGTGTAGATTCTTACACAATTCAATTACAAGCACTGTTGGATTTTAGTTGTAAACAGAAAAGTGTATACAGCTACTATATATGAATTTACATTTTAAGGCTTGACTATTTTATTTATTACTTGGGAATGTACACCAGTTTTTCTTCAAGTTTAATATACATACAAAGTTCTAATCCTATTTAGTTCTTAGTTTCTGCAAACTGAATGTCTAAAGCAAATTGCACAGACTAATCGCAATATAAATTTAAGCACTCAGTTTGCTAAAATAATCTGGATGTATTTATTTCATCTGTCATATCTTCATATTCTATTTCCTTGATGGCTTCAATTATTCTTATAATCATTATTGAAGCTGTCGTCTTTACTCATGGTAGATTCTGTATATAGAGAAATAGAAAGTCCAATTGTGTAACTCTGTGGCATGCAACTAAAAGGCTGTTTTGTATTTTATTTTTGAGAGTAACACACCAGCTCCATTGGGACCTCTTATATACTGACAATTATTTTGGTCTTTTAAAACATCTCAAATTTTAAGGATTTCCTGCAGTTACTTACTTTAATCAATCAAAATATTCTAAAGGAAGAAATTAGTTCTGAAAAAGTTTTATGAATACCTGAATATGCTCTAAAAAAACCAATTAGTATAAAAAAAAAAGATATGTACCTTATGAAGATATATATAAAATTGTATAGATACCAGGATTAAAATGTTGTACACCTGACTTGCATTTCGTCTACAGAAGACTCACCAGTGACACTTGAATAAAAAATATTAAAAAGGCCAAATAAAGTCTGAAGTTGAAGAGCATTGAAGACCCAAAATTTCAAAACAAAGGTTTTGCCAAATACATATAAGGTAATCTATTTATTCCTTGGGAAGAAAATCTTTAGTATTTCGAACATTTCAAAGTTTATTATAGGACAGTCACTCAAAATATGAAAAAGAAAAGAGAAACAGTTAGAGGTCAGAATACCGTAACTTATGATGACCATGATTCAAGGTCGCATATCCAGCTCTTACTGCCATGTCCTGAATTTAGATAAGAAAGGCAAAAATTTACAGTCTGTGAGTGAAATAAATATTTATGTATGCACGTGGTTTTCTTGCACAGCGCAAGCAATAGTAATTGGAAAGCATACACAATGATACCGTCTGGATTAAAATACGCATTTGCGTCATCACGTATATTTATTCTAGGCTCAAATCTAATGCTAGTTGAATTCGGATGTCAGACTACCTACCTCAAGTGGTATGACTCCGGATTCATGGGCATTTAATCCGAAATTTATGTAAACGCAAAAAGATGTCATATAATGAAAATGAACCAAGACGGGTGTATGATAGCTGGTCAACACAATGAATACACAATTTTCAAAATTGCACCATATTGAAAAGATTAAGATGCTATAAGATCAAACTATTAAAAACAAAACAAAAAGAATTGAAATTTAATCAACATACATTCCTGTTAATGAATCATTTCCGAAATTTTTAAAATATAATATCAATAAAAATAAACATCAAGCATTTACTGATGGACATTTTATATATTAAATCAATCTCTTTTTCAAGTCTATATATTTCCATTATATGAATATATTGCTATACAAAATATAAGCAGATACTTATAAAAACGTAGTTATCAAATGATTATTGTAAAATAATTTTATACATTTTTTTGTGAGATGCAAGGATTTAAAATCGTTGTGAAGTTTTTTTTCATTCACTAAAATTTATATTTAACTAACTTGTGTGTACGCATCCCTGATAATTGGTGCTCATAAGCTGCATAAAAATTTTCATAATGTATTCACTGTTCAGACATGACGGACATAATATAACATTATACATTATATTCTATTAATGACGAATTAAGTCTTAGTTTATACTTAATAATGTTAATGAATATTTTCTTGGTCTGTTAGTGTATCTTATTGAAATTAAATATTTTGACAGAAATATAGTTTTGTTTAATTATAATTATGCTTTCCGACCCGGGCTAAGATAAATATTTATAACAGAAATATCGTTTTGTTAATTTTCTTCAAGCTTGCTTTTACATAATGTCACGTGGTAACCGTTTAGAAATAATCAGTTTATTCTGAGACATAATATATTAGTATACTATTCCCAGGTTGATTGTCACAATGCTCAATACACAATGGCACATTGTATTAAATACTACACACACAATGCGCCCAGGGGCAGTCTCAAAGCGTGAATTATATAATTGCGTTATCATTATACTTGATATTCTGATTATTATACCCCCGCTTTAAGAAAGTGGGGGTATACTGTTTTACCTCTGTCTGTCCGTCAGTCCGTCCTTCCGTCCCATGAATATTTTTCATCGCATCTTTCTCAGGAACTACATCATAAGGATTTCTGAAATTTGGTTTCAGGGTTTATATAAGTCAGCTATACCGTGTGATGCGTTTTCAGATTCATCACTCAACAACTTCCTGTTTATGGAACACTTACATATTTTTACACTAGTAAAATTATCCAGTTGCGGCGGTGGTATCATCAGTGAGCAGTAGCTTGCAGTTTCACTTGTTTTGCATTAGTGCAAACACATATGTTCTGCCAAAAGGCAAATAGGTGTTAATATCTAAATGATTTTTTACCGCAATATAGTTTTTATTTTTTTTTAATATTATGATCTACAGATGAACTTCGATTGTTGAACTATACAATGTCACCTGGTAGATCCATAGAGGGACCGTATCAAAGACAGAAACAACTACCTGTATAAATGATCGAAACTTTTCGAGATGTTCCGAGAATCTAGTTTCCGAGGATAAAGAATGGCCCATAGAAGCTTCCAAAACTCCCCAATATATAGGCGTGAACCCCTCAGGGGTTCACACAAAAAAGTGTTCTTCTATTTCAAAATGCTTAGTTCAACTTTCAATAAAGATGTTTACCCAGTTGATCAATTAAGTTTAGTAATAAACTACACAATAACTTTTTAATATTTTGATATTTTTTCCAGAGAGTTAGGAGGGAGAAAACTAAGCATTGAGTCATTTCAGGTAAGCAGTTATAGTTTCAATGCCCAATAGGGGTAATTAGAGTTATTGATAATTTTCATTCTAAGCCAAAAAATTATCATCAGAAATCATATATGTTACACATTTTTATATTTTTGCGGTCGTATAATATGGTATGTCGTTGTCGTCTTTGTTGAAGACATTTGGTTTCCAGACAATAAATTGAGTATAAAGTGTATGGATCTCCATGAAATTGAACCACAAGGTTCAATACCTCAAAAGAATGTTAAGAATGAGATTGCTTTTTGGGAATATGGCCCGAACTGTTTAGGAATTAGGGGCCAAAAAACTAGGATTTTCTGGTTTCCAGACAATAACTTGAGTATAAGTGTATGGATCTCTATGAAATAGTACCACAAGGTTTCATACCAAAAAAGGAAGGTTGGGATTAGTTTTGGGAATTATGGCCCTAACTATTAAGGAAAAAGTGGCCAAAAACAATACTTTTCTAATACTTTGTATAAATTGCTTATTTATTGACCAATTTCAATGTGGTTTAATAGTTTTGAATTTTTGGGGTTCTTTAATATGCTGAATCTAACTGTGGATATAGATTTTGGATTTTGGGCCTTTTTTTTTAAGATGTCAACATTGAGATCCAAAGTTTCCATAATTAAACTTTGTTGGATTTCATAAAAAATTGAATTATTGTGGCCATTTGTTATGCTGACTTGAACCGTGTATTTAGATTTTTGATGTTGGGCCCAGTTTTCAAATTTGTCCTCATTAAGGTCTAAAGGGTCCAAGATTAAACATAGTTTGATTTTGATAAATATTGAGTTCACTGGGTTCTTTGATATGCTGAATCTTAACACGAATTCTCATACGCTCGTCAAAAATTTTGACGGGACGTATTATGGTATACAAATGTCCGGTGTCCGTCCGTCTGTCTGTCCGTCTGTCCGGCGTAAACATGTCGCACCTTAACTTGAGAATGACTTATCCAAATTTCATGAAACTTAACATAGTTGTTTCTTATGATGGTCAAACGATCTGTATACTTTTTGGTGAAAATAAGATTAAAACTTTTTGAGTTACAGGACTTAGTAACTAAAACAGGTGTGTGTTTTTTTACGCCCGTAAAATTTTTGACGGGACGTATTATGGTATACAAATGTCCTGCGTCCGTCCGTCTGTCTGTCTGTCTGTCTGTCTGTCTGTCTGTCTGTCCGTCTGTCTTTCCGGCGTAAACATGTCACACCGTAACTTGAGAATGACTTATCCAAATTTCATGAAACTTAAAATAGTTGTTTCTTATGATAGTCAAACGATCTGTGTACTTTTTGGTGAAAATAAGATTAAAACTTTTTGAGTTACGGGACTTAGTAACTAAAACAGGTGTGTGTTTTCTTTCACGTCGCGCCTTATCTCAAAAACAATTTATGATTATTGCTTAAAACTTTACACACTTCTTAGTTATATTAATCTTAAGATCTGTATACTTTTTGATGATGATTCAAAATTTTATTGTTGAGATATTGAGTATTTTGTTAAAAAAGGGGGAGGGATTTTTCACATATCGTGCATTATCTCAAAAACAGTTTATGATTATTGCTTAAAACTTTACACACTTCTTAGTTATATTAACCTTAAGATCTGTATACTTTTTGGTGATGATTCAAAATTTTATTTTTGAGTTATTGAGTATTTTGTAAAAACAGGGGGAGGGGTTTTTCACATGTCTCGCCGTATCTCAAAAACAATTTATGATTATTGCTTAAAATTTTACACACTTCTTAGTTATATTAATCTAAAGATCTGTATACTTTTTGGTTTTGATTCAAAATTTTATTTTTGAGATATTGATTTTTTTTTTTGTAAGGGGGGGTTTTCACATGTCGCGCTGTATCTAAAAATGATTTATGATTATTGCTTAAAATTTTACACACTTCTTAGTTATATTAATCTAAAGATCTGTATACTTTTTGGTTTTGATTCAAAATTTTATTTTAGAGATATTGAGTTTTTGTAAAAAAAAAGGGGGGTTTTTCGCATGTCACGCTGTATGTCAGAAACTATTTATGCTTATTGCATAAAAATTCACACACAAGACGACGGGCGTATCATGTGCTCATGGCGCAGCTGTTTATTTTTCACATGTCGCGCCGTATCTCAAAAACAATTTATGATTATTGCTTAAAACTTTACACACTTCTTAGTTATATTAATCTTAAGATTTGTATACTTTTTGGTGATGATTCAAAATTTTATTTTAGAGATATTAAGTATTTTGTTAAAAAGGGGGAGGGGTTTTTCACATGTCGCACCGTATCTCAAAAACAGTTTATGATTATTGCTTAAAACTTTACACACTTCTTAGTTATATTAACCTTAAGATCTGTATACTTTTTGGTGATGATTCAAAATTTTATTGTTGAGTTATTGAGTATTTTGTAAAAAAAGGGGGAGGGGTTTTTCACATGTCGCGCCTTATCTCAAAAACGGTTTATGATTATTACTTTAAATTTTACACACTTCTTAGTTATATTAATCTAAAGATCTGTATACTTTTTGGTTTTGATTCAAAATTTTATTTTTGAGATATTGATTTTTTTTTTTTAAAAGGGGGGTTTTCACATGTCGCGCCGTATCTCAAAAACGATTTATGATTATTGCTTAAAATTTTACACACTTCTTAGTTATATTAATCTAAAGATCTGTATACTTTTTGGTTTTGATTCAAAATTTTATTTTAGAGATATTGAGTTTTTTTGTAAAAAATTAGTCACGCCGTATGTCAGAAACTATTTATGTTTATTGCATAAAAATTCACACACAAGACGACGGGCGTATCATGTGCTCATGGCGCAGCTGTTTCTTGATTTTAGGCCCAGTTTTCAAGTTGGTCCAAATCGGGTTAAAAAATTAAAGTTTGTTTGATTTCAACAACAGTTGAATATATGGGGTTCTTTGATAGGCTTAATCTAACCGTCTATTAAGATTTTGGATTTTGATCCCAGATATCAAATTGTTTCTCATTGAGGTCCAAAGGGTCCAAAATTAACCATCAAAAATTTAATTCTTGGGGTTCTTTGATATGCTGAATCTAACCATGTATTTAGTTTTTTTGATATTGGACCATAATAGGTAATTCACTACTCATTATTAGATATTTTGAAAAATAATTAAAGAAAAGTTTTATAGATTTTTTAAAGACATTGTAATAATGATGAAGGATATTTTGGAAATTGTTTTTTTTTTAATTTTTTTAGTAAATTTGTTGAAGAACCTCTGGCTCCGTACTTATGCAACCAGCCTTTGTGTTTTTATGCTGTGGTCATTTTTGTCTCGCCTTGACGGAATCAAAAAGCGAGACATAGGTATGCTGTTTCCGGCTTCGGCGACGGCATCAACAATGTATTAGTTTGTGATTAGGTCTAGTTCATGGTGATCCACTAGTGGTAGGTCAATGATATTTGGTATGCAGTTGTATTAGCATTGGCACATCTCATTACCATGGAGATTATTTGGCCCCGCCCCCTCAGTCAAGGTCTATTGACTTTGAAACTTTTCATAGTTTACATGTATTAGTTTGTGATTAGGTCAATTTATGGGGAACCACTAGTGGTAGGTCAGTGATATTTGGTATGCAGTTTTATTAGCATTGGCACATCTCATTACCATGGAGATTATTTGGCCCCGCCCCCTCAGTCAAGGTCTATTGACTTTGAAACTTTTCATAGTTAACATGTATTAGTTTGTGATTAGGTCAATTTATGGGGAACCACTAGTGGTAGGTCAATGATATTTGGTATGCAGTTGTATAAGCATTGGCATATCTCATTTCCATTGAGATTATTTGGCTCCACCCCCTTAGTCATGGTCTATAGACTTTAAAATTTTGCTAAGTTAACATGTATTAGTTTGTGCTTAGGTCAGTTAAAGGGGAACCATTTGTGGAAGGCCAATGTTAATTTGTGTTCAGTTGTATAAGCATTAGCACATCTCATTTCCATGGAGAATATTTGGCCCCGCCCCATCAGTCATGGTCTATTGACTTTGAAACTTTTGCTTAGTTTACATGTATTTGTTTGTGATAAGATCATTTTAAGATGAACTGCTAATGTTAAGTCAATGATATTTGGTATGCAAATGTATTGGAATTTGTAAATATCGTTTCCATGGAGATTATATAGCCCCACCCCTGATCATGATTCATTGACTTTGAAACTTTTACATAGTTTACAAGTTAATGTTTGTGTTTAGGTTTGTTTAAAGGGAACAACTTATAATAAGTCCGTGGTATTTGGTATGCAGTTGTATTAGCATTGGCATATCTCATTCCATGGAGATTGTTTAGCCATGTACCTTTAGTCATGGTTCATCGACTTTGAATATTTGCATAACTTACATGTTAAAGTATTGCTATTTTAATTTCAACATTTGCATTATCAAAATTACAAAAAGGCGAGACATATCTCTGTGATAACAGTTTATTTTATTCTTGTCTTTCGTTTTTGCTTATGTGCTTTGTCTATATGCTATTTTGTTTTTCTTTGTTGACATATTTGTTTGTTTTTATAGTGATTAAGATTATAACACAATGTTGACTGCTGTACCCCTATTTTTGACATTTTTACTTATTATGTCTGTTTGTTTTGTTCACACATTGTTGTCAATATAATGGAATTTTATGCGACTGTCATACAAGTGAGAGGTTTAGCTAGCTATAAAACCAGGTTTAATCCACCATTTTCTACATGAAGAAATGCCTGTACAAAGAGAGGAATAGCCTAGGACAGTTGTTTTCCATTGGTTTGATGTGTTTGAGCTTTTGATTTTGCCATTTGATAAGAGACTTTCAGATTTGAATTTTCCTTGGAGTTCGGTATTTTTATACGACCGCAAAAAATTTGCGTTCTTATAATGTTATCATGTAGACATCGTTGTTGTCCGAAGACACATTTGGTTTCCAGAAAATAACTTAAGTTTTCAGTGAATGGATCTCTATGAAATTTTACCAGAAGGTTCAATACAATAAA